ACACATGGGGCCCATCACGGGGATAGACTGTCACAATGTGCCGGGGCAGATTGATTTCTCCCCCTACTTCCTCACCTCCAGCTTTGATTGGACACTCAAGCTCTGGAGCATTAAGGTGGGTAGATCAAAATGTATGGAATCAAAATGCAGGGTGGACAGAATTTTTTTGTGGTTGTACAAAAAAAAAAGCAAGAGATTCACCAGGAGAGCACCTCTAAAGTGCAGTTTTGTATTTAACACCAGTCTTCACAGCTTTGAGTTATTTTGCTGGAGCACAACAATCAAAAATGAATACATGTATTTGGAACTTTGAAATTTGCATTGCTTTTGATTTTACATGTTAAAAAAATAATCTGGATTGTAGAATATTTTTGCTGTAAAATTGTTTTAAAAATGTTGTTAATTTATTCACATTAATCTTGAATACTAGAATTGTACTTTTCTCTCTGGCTCATAATTCTGTGGAATCAAAATTTGATTCAATCAGTGAGTAGAAAACTATAACAGAAGTGAGATACAATAACAGATTTCATGGATTGTCATTTATGGTATACATAATTCACTTTAACCAGTTTCTTACCTTAAACTCACATTTACATGTATTTATTTCATGGAAACTTTTTTTATTTAGGATCAAAAGTTCTTGCATTCGTTTGAAGACAACAGTGATTATGTGTATGATGTTCAATGGTCACCTATCCACCCTGCTTTGTTTGCCAGTGTAGACGGTGATGGACGTCTAGACCTGTGGAATCTTAACAATGAAACGGAGGTGAGCTTACTATGTCTTTAGGATTATCATGAATATATACAGGATAATATAAATTTGTTCATGGGAAATTCGGGTTAAGAAGTTTTGTACTAAAATAATTCAAGAATATGGGAAACATAGATAATATTAAAATAATGCCAATTACAAATTATTACGTGAGGTTTTCTTAAAGAAAAAAATTCTGGCAAAATATAAGGTATTTATGACGTGTTCATTCCTACATGTATTGTTTTGAATTCTAAAAGAAATTGAACCCAAAGATTTATTTCTGTTTTCATCATTTAGATTTTACATGAAGGAAGTAGGCCGAATCAAGAAATTCACAATAAGTATATTAGAAAGTAATGTTTTTGGTTTATAAATCTACATGTAGGTTCCGACAGCATCAGTTGTAGTGGAGGGGGGCGTGGCCCTGAATCACTGTAGATGGCACGGAAGTGGAACCAACATTGCTGTAGGAGATGATGTAGGAAGGATTCACATTTATGATGTGGCTGAGGTAAAACTTAATGATCAAGTTTCATACTGGTTCAAACCCAGGAGGTGTTAATTGTCAGACCAATTAGTGGTGTTGAAAGTTCAATTTATCCTAGAATCTTAGCTACTTTTTTTTATTGTTGTATGGGATATTTTGAAAAAAAATGTATGATGGTGAAGTTATGCTTCCAGAGGTTAAGTTTGACATCAGAATATAAATAAATGTGTAGTGAGAAAGCAAATCTTTTATTAATTGATTTTAAAAAAATTAAATAACTCAAGAAACACTGTTGGATAAATTGTCGTGTTTGGTACTTGTATTTCAGAACACAGCCAATCCTAAGATGGACGAGTGGTCACGCTTTGTTAGAACTCTCCAGGAATTAAAACAGCAGGCAGTGGAGCGTGAAGAGGAATCTTCTTTAGGATCTATATCCATGACCTCCCCACTCAGATAAACAATCCCCTTAACCGGCAATATTTATCTAGACCAAACAAATAATTTGATGAATTTTGATGGTGGAAGTGCTATATACATGTACATGTATGTGAACATTTTGCTTGACGTGATGTTGACAGTAAGCGTGAAGCTTAAGTTTATTATTAAGACAGTGTGCAATAAATGATGGAATATATTTACAAAATGAAATTCTGTATTTTAATTTAAATTAATGTTCAGAATGTTCAATGTAACTTAAATATAGGAAAATTAAAAAAAAACACATGCCGATCCTTTGTCTGATGTTTATAATGCAAGTGTGAGAAAGGGTATGCTTGAGTGTATGTTAATTAATGTGTTACTAACTTTTCATAAATATTAAATTTTCCTTGAGATGAAAGTTGAATAAATAGTACACTAATTTGGAATTAGCAATGAAATGCATCAGCTTTATTATATGATTGTAATACATGTAAAACATCACAGATTATAAGAAGCATAGTTATTTATAAATAATTAAGATTAAATTATGAATTAAAATAAAAGTAATTTATCCATTATAACATGTTGTTGTTTCATAAACACCCATATATCAACATGATCAGAAAATGTTTGGCTCCTGGCTTGTCTCTTGGAATGATTTATAAGTTTATAAAAGAAAATCCGTTGTCATCCCTGTTTTAAAATGAGTATTGATTCCAAGGTATACGTTTGGTTTTTATCATAGAGAAAGAATGCATTATGGCATCACGTTTTATTTACCCCTGGCTGAAGTCGGCTGCACTGAAAATTTACACCCGACTCTGTAACCAATCGAAGATCATGTTTCAAGCTACATAGGAAACAATAGAATTAATTCCATATTAATTTCAATAGTCCCGCCCACTGACGTTAGACAAATAACAACCTGGGAAATTGGCATTCATATTAGATACCGAACCTTTCATTACAACTTGTTTCGGAAATAATTTTTTTCAACCTATAGTATAATAATAACACCACAGGCACCTGAAGCTACTTTTTTCTTTTAATAAAAAAATATATCCCCTTCTGTTAGGTAGGAGGTATGTATTTTAATCAAAAGAAAAATAAGTAGCGTCAGGTGCCTGTGAATAACACTTATTATACTAGGGGTTTAAAAATTATTTCCGAAATAAGTGCCTGTGGTATATGCTATGGGTTAAAAAAAATATTTCCGAAACAAGTGCCTGTGTTTTAAAACACAACATAATCCTTTTTTACTAGTAATCTAGTAATTTATTAAAATGACTATCTTTTAGATATGAATCTTTGCGTAATTAGATATTATTTTTTTGCTTGTCAGGTGTTTTTGTAGGTGTGATTTTTTTTTTATTACACTTAGCCCCCCCCCCCCCCCCACTTTCAATTTGCTTCCAACGCCAATGCTTTAAGTTTACCTAAAAATATACATACTAGTACATTGCTTTAGGTCAAGATCTAGTAAATGTTAGGTGCCTACAAATTTATTAAATTTGAGAAATAAAATTCCTTTAATTAATATTGATGCTTTAATTATAAGTTTAGCTTGGTCAAATAAGGAGTTTCGGAGCATATAGAATTTGTAGATACACAAGATGAAAAATAATATTTTAACTGTCATGTTTAATGAAAATTTAAGAAAACCAGTCACGAATATGAGACTTTTTTTTCAAGATCAGACATATGAAATGCAGCAAGGACCCATTATTGATACCTTAAAAGTACATTGTTTTGATAAAACATGATATAAATGCTACTGTTCATTACATGTAGGGGTTGTGTAGCGTACTGGCCATAGTTACATGTAGCTTTTTTTATTACTAGAGTTCCAACTACGGGGATACCACATAATGTATTTTTAAAGTTAATAATAGAATAAATTATAGAAATTTTAGAATACATGCTAATCCCTGGCATTTAGATTATTAATTATTTCTATCTAGCCATTCGTTATTTGCAAGAGTTTTGGAAATTTCATATTAGAGGAAAAGATCAGTCTGTTATGAATTTTTCCTTTATCATAATCAACATTGACCCTTTATTTTCAGTTAAAAAAAAAGTAAAATCGAGCCTTTAACTGACTTAATTAGATCTAAAATGTTCAATTCGGAGGTAAAACAAGAAAAAAAAATCTTTTCCTTTTTTTTCTACAGAGGCCATAGATTTGTTTTAAAAAAGAACGGTAACTCTAAACACTGTTTAAAGAACCAAACTAGAGTAACCGTCCCTGGTTTAAACCACGTGACGTGTCACTTAACTGTGACGTCATAATAGAGACTGCTGTTTCTATAACTCTTCATCGCAAAAAAACTTGTGGTAAGAGAAAAGTTATATTATATTGCTGCTAAAAACTACTAAAACATCTGCAATAATTTAAAGTTGCTGTAGCAGACAATGTACTTTATAAATTCTTTTTAAATGTTTTTATTGATAGATTTGAGAAGCATTTTCCAAAATTCTGATTTTTGGATACAGTAATATTTGCTGTAAGAAGAAGTGGTTGATCTTAGAGCAAAGTAAGTAAAAAAAAAAAAATTGATTGAATAAGCGGGCACAATTTGAATAACTTTTTAAAGGATGTAAACAATATATCTTTTCATCAATTCTGACATGTTTGTATTTCAAACCTTAATTGTGAGACTTTCTTTCTAAATACTTTTATTCAACGAAGACGTCACATCTTAGTCCATATATACAGTATACATCTTTATGTTTTGGGTTCTAAGAGTAAATCGTTTTGATTTTTAATACATGTTTTTTTTTAAAATCTTTAATTATGTATAACTATGTAGGACATTAATTATATGGTATTTAATAATTTCTGTAAATTATTTTTAATAGTCTCCCTCTTTTCTATTTTTTGCTTTCTACAAATTTTATAGTTTAAAATGGACAATTTGAATAACTTTCTTAAGGATGTAAACAATATTCTTTTCATCAAGTTGACAGTTTGACCTTAATTGTGAGAAAACAGCGAGGTATTTAATAATAAAAATATTCAACATACATGTATTTTGAATGTATGAAAGTAATATTTGATTTGTAAAATCAGTTATTCTATTTGTTTACTCCTTCACAGTTCTGCCATCCCAATGTTAACCCCTTTTCACAATCTTTAATTACTATTACTTTTATATTTAATTACTAGCTACTTTTATTTTTATATTTGATTACTAGTATTTTTATTTCTATATTTGATTACTAGTACTTTTATTTCTACATTTGATGACTAGTACTTTTATTTTTATAAAGAGTAGACCCACTCCCGTCATATGTGTTTTAATATTACTCATGTATTTTGATAACAGCACACAGAAGAAAACGAGATGAAAAGCCTTTCTTTTCATAGGAAGAGCCTGGTGTGTATAATATTCTTTAAAATATCTGTTTCAAAGAGTCAGTCATACATACACTTCCTTAAAATTTATACTGATCTATATTATAATTATTTGATTCTCCAATTTATCCTATATCTAAAAAAAGATATATTAACCTTATTAAAGAAGATTTGAAGTAATAAAGCATATAAAGTACAGAAAATCGGTATTATGTATTTCCACAAAAAATATGCTTGTCATTTAGGGCAATAAGGCGTCCATGATGATCATAATGGTCGAGCACAATGAGTCAGACGATGAAGACGAAGGACCGGAAGAACTAGACCAGGAAGTAGGATTATTTATTATTTATCGAATTTGTCACGTTTTTAATAAAGGAATACAATTTTCTAATATATTGTTGTTCATGAATTATTTTTTGTTTATACAACAGACGGTGTCTAGCCTGTGCAGCTTGCCCCGAGAGATTGCCTTGACTCAACAGGTATATGCATCTCTTAGGTTTGCAACAAACATGGTTAGCCCTCTCTGATTATTTTTTTTTAGCTGGGGAGGGGGAGGGGGGGGGTCAGATAAAAAAAATCGGAGAAGGCTGCATTATTGAACTACATAATATTATTAAATATATATTAAAGATACTGTAGATTTAAGAATTAATTTTTTAGGGTTTATGCCCTACATATTTTACTAGAATGGTTTTAGGTTTTAAAGACTGGTTGACCTATTCTTTTTATCTGTCGAAAATAACATCAGTATGTCTAGGTATTTAGTAACCAGAAGCGCAGGGGATTGTCTTTTCGAGAATACTCAGTAGTCTTAGGTCTGTATTACATTCACAAACTAAGGCCGATTGATACCTTCTTTTTATTCGCCTGGAAAAGAGATCCCACTTCACTCCCAAAAGAAATCAAAGATGTTTTTTTAATTGTTTCTGTAATTTTGTGTACGTGTGTATCTCTTAAAGTTTGCCCCCTCCCCCTCCTTTTGAAAAAAATGCCATGATTCTCAGTGCTATAAAATTATCTAATGTTCCAGGCGAAACAACTTTCCGCAATTAGTATGAAAGAGGCCCTTGCAGAAGAATTTATTGAAAATGAGGTAAATATGAAATCATTGTAAATTTTATCAGACACGATTTTTAATTAATATGAATTAATATTAAAAACTTTAAGGGGTATACTTCATTTACAGATTAGACGAATGTCCCGTACGTCCATTCACTCAGCCTTTTCAGCCGCTGCAGAGTATCAGTCCGACAAGAATTGGCCAAACAAACGCAAGGTAAGATTCTATAACTTATAAATAAATCCTTGAGTTTGTTTTTTTTTTTTTTTTTTTTTTTGTAAATCGTTATCTACTTAATGGTGGAGTTTTTGTACGATTTTTTATATTCATAACTGATATTTTTATTTTTTCTTATAAGCCCAACATTTTCCGAAGATTTTTCTCTTGCTGTTTTTCGTGTATTGGTAGAAGAACTGAATAAAATGTTTTCTGTAAATTCAATTCTTTGTTTTTATTTGCCGAGACAATGTAAAATATTTTCATAATTTAAAAAGAAAAAAAATGAGTATTTAGAATCACAGATTTGATTTTTATTTTATCTACATGATCTTACCTACAAACTACAATACAAGAAGAACAAAACAAGAAGTTTCAAAAAAAGTGAATTGTTTGTCATAAGTATACACAAATTTTAATAATGAGAACTTTACTCTGAATACTAAAAAATCGACAAAATTTTATATAAATTTTTTTTGAAGCTATAGGCATTTTGCACGCATTATTCGCTTTTCTCCTTGATCGCCTACTACAAGTGTTAACAAATACAAAAAAAAAGTGTGGATTAACAAACAAAAATATTTTTAAAAAAACTTGGAAATTATAATAATTGCCTCAAAGGTATAACGAGGAAATCTGAGTCTCTATTCCTCAGAAGAATTAACATTCTCTCTTTTCAATGTTGTTAAGTACATGACTAAGATTACGACTCCAGAAATACTGATAGGTATCAATATTGTTATAAAATATATAAACGGAATGCCGCCATCTTTTGTAGAGTTATCCACCCAGGGTTTGGTCTGGCAATCCCATCTCTTTATGATTACACCAACATGTTTTCTTTTCAGTCTCTCTTTACTGGTGACAAATAAATTCTGACTATAGTCCATTGATCCTATTATAGGTTCCCAGGGTCTTGGAGTCTGACAATCCGATCCAGAAATAGTCCGTCTGATAGACCATCAGACATGAAGGTTTCTGTCAATGGATCAGTCAAAGTTTTTTGGGGGAGCAATGTTTCAGTATGTCAAGTATAATTTGGTCGACACTGAATAAAGGGCACGATTTACCTTATATCAGTAAGACTGGTAGCCGCTGTAACCCCCAGGGCAGGGTAGACTGGCTGGGGATGTTGTGATGGCAAGGGGGGGGGGGTAAAACCCTGCAAGGGGGGGGGAGGCTGTCAGATAAAGTGGTGCTGATCTGTGCAGTTCAAATTTTTCCGAAGTCCTTTTGGATGACGGCTGGTTAATATTCTCTTAAAGTGTAGAAATTAAACATGTACACTTTTTTTCTTTTTTTTCAAAATAAAACAATTCAACATCGTACATGTTCATTATATATACTCATAAAGAATTTCTGCAAATGAATAGTACTGTACTGTACCAGTTGGAGTAATTAATAGGTACTCCATTGATCCTATTATAGGTTCCCAGGGTCTGGGAATCTGACAATCCGATCCAGTTATAGTCCATCTGATAGAACATCAGACATGAAGGCTTCTGTAAATCCTACGATGAATATGTTATGTTTCCGGCTTACAAAGCAGATAACAACATTGTCTTCGTTTGTATGGCTCATTATTTTTTGAATTGTATTTTAGAGGAACTGGAATTTAGTTATGCAGTAGCATTCCATCTTATACCCATAGTTTCATTTTTAAGGAGAAAATTCTTCGAAATCATATGTCACACTGTATTTTAGAAGAACTTGGATTTAATTCTACTAGTGGTAATCCAACTTATACTTATAGTTCCCTTCTACGGAGAATTTCTTTAAAAATCATGTGTCAGTTTTGAATATTTTTAATATCCCGAAAAACCAGAATGAATTTAAACTACAGTTTATATATATTGGATTCTAATCCAACATGATAATGAAAGGAAAGAACAACTGCAACTGAAATATGTCTCTGTGGAAAAAAATTGACTTTTAAATTATTTAATAACGTTATCCATTATTATAAGGGCAGGGTTGATCAGGTGGTCACGGTTTGCATGTTGTCTGAATGGATTATTTTCTCAAAATGTGTGATTTTGTAAAACAAAACTGTCACATGTCTATCAAGTAAGCGAAGTAGTTCTTATATTCTAAAGTATCTCCTTCCTGTTTGTCTTTACGAAAAGTACATAATGTACAGCAACAATTTTTGTAGTGTGTAAAGTACAATTTAGAAATAATGACGAAGTTTTATATTGGAACTGTATCAGGCATAGTCTAAGAATTTCTGCAACTTCTCTGTAATAAAAGTATATCGTGATGCTTTGAACTCAAATCATGCGAAAAGAAGTAAATATAGCAAATATTTCAAAGTTTAAAAGAACAGCAGCTATGAACACGTCTCATAGTTAAAAGTTATAAACCAAAAAGAAATGGTTTTTGTTTTACTGTGTTAAAATTTGAATAAAACTGTTTTCCCCAGCACCGTGGATGCTGGCCAAGTCCCCTCCGTAACCTTGACTAGCTGTAATCTCTGGCCTGTGTAAACGACATCCGCTGAGCGTTGTCTGTCAGTCCTATTGCCTGTTACAAAATGCACATTTATGATTGAATAAACTGTTTCCATAATTCCTTGATTACCTTTGTAGTTTTTTTTTATCATGCAGTGTCTCTTGTGTGAAAGTTTAAAGAAATTAGATTTTTTTATTGATGCAGAGTAATAAAAGAACATGTAATAAATTCTGCAAAGTTTTCTGGCAATCGGCAATCATCGGCCGACTCTGCTTCGCTCCACACAAACCTCGGATGTGATAGGTGGGGGAATACCCATCAGGTCAATATACATTTCTCCGCCGAAAACAGCTTTCTTACTCATTTCATATTTCGCTCTGCCTCAAATTCTTCGAAAACGTTTCTTTATTTGTCTAATTCTTCATTATACATGTATATTGCTTTTAATTACAACAATATGATAGTAGTTTTTGAAAGCAAGAACATAAGCCTCTTTCGATAACCTAGTTACCTCCCCATAGGCACTCTCTAGTATTGGAGGTTTATAACTTCCGGTAGGTAAAAGTTGCTGATGTAGGGTGAAGCGTCATGCGCCAAGGACGTTGCTAAATCGTTTAAAAATGGAGGCCTTTGATAAAATGACAAAGAAACAACTAATTGATTTTCTTAAAAAGTGTAAACAACCAACTTTTGGAAACAAACCTGAACTTATACAGAGAGCTAAAGGTGCAAACAGTGGCGGATCCAGAAGTTCAAGTGGGGGGGTTTTGAGGCCCAAAGGGCCGAAGGGGGAGGGCATGGGAGGGGGTTTCCCCCTCCCATAGGTGGGGGTTCGGGGGGCCTCCCCCGAGAAAATTTTGTTTTAAATGGTTCTAAATGGTGCATTTTCCAGCATTTTGGGGGTATTTTTTGTAGCTTTTTTAAAGACCGATCATCACAAATTTTTAATAAAATGTTTTCAATTTAATTTAACTTTAACACAAGACTTTAGACTTTGCTTTAAAAAAAATGTTAAATCTGACAATTTTAGGAATGCAAGCAGTTGACTTCCAAGATACAACTAATATACCAAATTTTTAAACACTAAAAAAATTAAAAATTGAATTCTTTTCAGAATCCCTAACTTGTGCTTTTCAACTTACTTGAGTATATACTGTTAATATGATTTGGAATATAAACACACGTGTACAATTAATGAAATTTCAAACTGTCTTATAATTAACTGAAGAAAAAATTTACATAAACTGGAGAATCTGTCAAAACTAGAGGGGTTTGCTAAGCCAACCTGGTTTTGTAAAAAAAATTATATTAATTTTAATTTAATTTTAAAACGGTAAAAAAAACCCTGAATAATAGTTTATTCATAGTTTAAAAAACATGAATTTTATCAGTAAAAGAATATAACTGAGCAGCATCATAACTTTGCAGTTTTCTATTGTTGGTACCTGATTACATTGTACTGTGATCTAGTGATTTCACTAGATGCACGGAGTACCCGCTCTCTGAGGCACTCTCTCTGTTGATTACCTGTGTATTGTGTGCGTTCAAGCGGAAAGAGATTTCCTGTTACGTAGTGGATGTAAATTTCACAGTTGTACAAACAAAGGGTTTATGTTTATTAGAGTCTTATCAATGCAACAAAATGATAAAATGACACTTGTAAAAAAAAAAAAATCAGTGAGCGGGGGGGGTTTTCCCGAACCCCCCCAAACCCCCCTGAATCCGCCCTTGTGCAAAGGACTTAGGATTAGATGTAGACCATGACGACGTCGATTCGGGAGATCAGCATGCACAGCCACAGGACAAAATAATCACACCGCTTGGGGAAGGAATACCAGTACCGTCAAAGCTAACGGAAGGCTGGGTGACTAACTGCGAGTATTTTCCATACATTACGGAAAACGAAATTTACAATTACCTGGTATTAAGTAAACGTACCTTTGATTTAAACCAACAATCTGCAAGGCGACAACTTAAAGCCAAAATATTTTATGATGAAGGTCATGTACAGAATATTGAAATTAATCTAGTTACAAAAGACTCTTCACATTGTATTATAAAATGTGACTGCTTACCATCAATTCCAACCAAAGACAAAAGTAAAAAACCTGCGTACAGGTCTTGGGTGTGCTTGTCTAAAGTCACTGGTAGAGTCCACACAGCAGAATGTAACTGTGTTGCAGGGTAAGTAAGTTTTATAATATAATCATGAAAATTACATGTAAATTCTTGATATTAATGTAATAAGCTAGAGCCACTGTGATATACTGAAAAACCAAACCTAGCCCTTTGATTTTTTTTAAACTGCTCTTTGTAACATTTTCTAATGCATAATATTAAAGTATGCCTGACAGGTAAAAATGTGTTCAGTACAGGTAGGCCTACATGTGCATGAAATGTTTTTGTACATTAAATGAGAACTGTTTGAAAAAAGTACTGGTACCAGGTGTCTTTTTCCATGCATTTTGCATCAGTTATAAAATTCAACATACTTCCTGTACTAGCACTTTGTTGTTTTAATGATTATAAATATAAAAAAAATAATAATTTCTTTTTTTTCACTTCTAGAGAAGGGGGTGCTTGCAACCATATCGCAGCATTGTTGTATGGAATTGTTGACATAACAGTAAAAAAACACACTGGTAAAATTGCCCCAACTTCAAAAGCATGCGAGTGGATCAAACCACGTAGCAGAAATCTTTCACCAAAAAAAGCGCAGGACATGGATTTCAGCAAAACAAAGACGAAGGGGAA